TTGATTCTTGAAAAATTACTGCAAAATTGTATTTGTATAAATAGAAAATGATTGATGATGAAAAAGAGAAGTGAAGGAAAATGAAAAAAGAAATGGGGAAATTACCAATTCAAAGCTTGTTGAAGAAGGAGGAGGAGGATGAGAGAGAAGAGGAGTCGCCAAACAAAAATGTGAAAATGACAGGCTGGCAGTTTATACACTCAAATACAATCGGTCAAACTGCCATGTCACGCATGATGAACTTTATTTTCTTTTTAATTTATTAATAATCTAGTAATCAAGAATAACCTCATTTGATACAAAGGATAATACAAAAAATTTAGTCCTATTTGTATTTACACCAAACAAATCATGCATTTTGCATAAAATTTTATTATTTAATAAAATTTAATTGATATATATTTTCATTTTAATTTTTGACTGTCACAATTAGATTATTTGATTTGATATAAATATCAAGCGTTTCTTCCGTTCTAATTTATGTTTGATTGTTTGAGAAAGAAAGATAGACTTTTGAAATTTGAGGTCTAAGTAAATCATAGATATTTGTGTAGCTATAAATCAATTCATTAAGGATAAAATAAATTTTTAAATAAGAAAATGTGACATCATTTTTGGAATTGACTAAAAACAATGTACTACTCATATAAATTAGGACGGAGGGAATGTTTTTTTTCCGATACTAACTTTAAGTTTGTCTTTTTGAATTTAGAATTCAAATTTGATTTAGTTAATAGAAATTAATTTTAACAAAATGTTTGAATGTTGAAAACATATTCTAGAGGCAAAAGTTTTAGATTAATATTTGAGAATTTTTGTGTTTAGAAAGAAAACCAAAATGTTTTTCTAAAACCAAAACAGCTAAAAACAGATTTTGCAGTATCAAAATGTTATCCAGAAAAGCATTTTCTCAGAAACTACCTAAGCACGCAACTCTTTTCAAAATAATTCTTCAAAAACTATTAGGGCCATTTGGCCATAAAAAAATTTCATTTTTGTTTCAATTTTTTTTTTTCGAAATCAGTGTTTGGCCATGAAATTTTAATTTTTATTTGAAGATGAATTTCGCAATTTTTCAAAAATTTGAAAAATTCTAAAAAGCTATCTTTCAAAAAATTTCACTTCAAATCACTCCCAAAAATTCAAAAATAACCAAAATTGTATTCATTTCCAAACACAACTCTAATCTTCAAATATTATTTTTCCTTGAAATTTATTTTTGTTTTTTCCTGGAATTTTACAATTCTTATGTCCAAACGCTCACCTAATCAAACCAAATCCAAATACCATTTGTTGGGATTGGGAATCCTCCTGAACAACCTTTCAGTGATTTTATAATATAAATATCTTAATTTCTGTTCATGTTAATTTGTAAATTATTTATTGTTCTTTTTTCTTTTATAGTAGTTGTGAAATAAATATTTTGAAACAATTAGTCAACTTTTTTTAAATGTATGATAATCACAAAAATCTTTTTTAAATGACTAGTTAATAGAAGAAAGTTTTTAATTCTGTTTAACTAGGCAAAAAAGTATCTTATTCTTAAGTTAACTATTGAAAGAAAAAAAAATCATTGGATTAACCTATTACGTAGGATTAAAATTCATGAAAAAGGGAGAATATGAAAGACAACCACAAGACAAATGGAAGGAATTTAAAAAAACAGATAAGAAAATTGAGTTATTAGAGTCAAATTAAAACTGCCGACCTACATCTTGGACTTTCTTTATAATCAACCTAAGGCGTGGAGAATTAGAGAAACCAAAAACATTATAATTAAATATTTTTATCGCAGTATTATTGCTTACTCATATACTATATATAAAATTTTGGATTTAGTGAAGGAAAAAATATTTTTAAAGAAAGTTTTTAGTAGGAGTTGTTGCAATCAATAGTCAAATAAATTGATGGGCAACGTTCAAAGTTGTAACCTATACTGCTAGTAGACTCAGGGCTGTGGACTACAACTGGAGTTTGATTTGACATTCAGGGGTCGTTTGGTTGGAATATGATTTATACCGGTATTAGTTATGCCGGTATAAATTATATTGGGGTAAGTTATGCTGGAATTAGTTATGCTGGGATTGTTGTTTATTCATTGTTTGGTATGTTGTATTAAGAATGACAATTGCATAATTTCAAAGAAGAAGGTATAAGTTATACCGGTGCTAATTACCCCACCTTCTATAAGGTATAAGTTATCTCAGTGTTAAAATTAACACCGGGATAACCTATACCTGGTTTGCTAACCAAACAGAGTATTAAGGTGGTATTAAATTTTTATACCACCCTTATACCTTCTTATACCTAATACCAAACGACCCCTCGATATTTCACTTACTATTATAATTGATCTTCCTAAAAAAAGGAAAGAAAAAGAGCAGTTGGGAGTTTATTTAACAGGAGAAAAATTTAATCAAACAAATACTCCATGTTAAGTTGGCTATGGAAAAGATAGTTTTCGATTTTTTGAAATAATTTTTGAAGTAGTTTTACGAGACTTTATTTTTGCGAATAAAATTGAAACTAATGCACATAAGTAGACACTGCTGATGTTTGAACAGTTCAACGAACACCCCACAACTATTGAATTTTAAAGCAGCTACTAACTTTCTAATTAATTAACTAGTTTGGTTTTTATTTTAATTAAAAAAGATTAATTGTGTTATTTAGCTACCTAAACTGAAATAAAATAGGTCTGGCATAGCACATTTCATTTATCGCAAGTCAATTTAATCAATATCTGGACCTAAGTCAGACAAAAGGAATCATTTAAAAATTGATAAATTAAAGGTTTTATCATAGCAAAATGATAATACTAGTTACGTAGCAAAAAGTGATAAACAAAAAAAAAAAAAAAAAAAAGGATTGTGATGTGTGAAGAATGGGATAAAAACGAATATGCGCAGTGCACTATAAGCTTAGTGATGTAGTGATTGTCATTCTCTGGAATATATACAGTTCCCCATTTGGATTATTGCATACATTTTCCAGTCAAGGAAAGTGGGCGACGAAACTTCCAACTTTTCTTTATATATAATCTCCCTTGCCCAAGACAAAAGGCTTTACAATAATCTTCCACATATTAATATTATATTTTATTGAACCTACATGAATAACTCATCCATCATAGAATTTAATTACATATGCGAGTTAACTTTTGCTTTTCCTATCCACTAAATAGACAAAAAGACGGGCTTGGCATAATAATAATAACCGTTGTTATAGTATATGATCAGGAGATTACTAGTTCAAATTGAGAAAATTATCTATCGCAAGATTATAATAAATTACAATAGACTCAATAGTCGATATGATGCAATCGTCTCTTTGATTGCACATAATAAAAGCTTAGTGCACCGAATTTGCAGTTATTTATTGAAAAAGTAGTGTCAATTAATTTAATTTACAATATTACTATTTAAGTAAATAAAAGGGAGAATTACACCCCTTATCACTTGGCTCAATAGCCCATCAAAAAATGGCCCAAGTTTGAAGCCCTTACCCAGTATGGCCCAGGTTGTGTATAATGTGAAAATTACTTTTCACCCATTAGCCCACTCCTTTTAATTTCTTTTTTCTTTTCTGTGTTCTTCTTCTCATTGTGTCCCAACTTTGCATCCCAAACTTTCTCCATCATTGTTATTCTCCATCAACGCTCCTCCACATTCAAAGCCGATAATCACTATTTGGATGAAGAAGAAAAAATAATACATAAAGAATTAGTTTTTTTTTGAGTCATTTGAAGATCACTTCCTTCAATGGAGTGGAGAGAACTGTGTTTGCACTAAAGAGGTTCACTTGGTAGGTTGTTGGATCAACAAACTAGAAAGAAGGTATTGGCATGGTCTCAATCTTATCCTTATTCCACGTGTAATTCTAATTCCAGTGGTTGATTAAAAACTTGGAAAATAGAAGTCACCATTAAAGGTGTTTTAAAGCTTCGATTTCAGAAATTGCTTTTTTTAATTTGTTAGTTGTTTGGATTGGGTGTTGTCCCAATTGATTGGAATCATCAAGAGGAGTTCAAAACTTAAATTTGAAGTGATTTTGAGTAGATTTAAGCTAGATTTGAGTTAAATTTCAGAAGATCCCCAAGAAAGAAGAAGAACATGTGAAGTTTCATTGATATGATTCATCTGTATAATAATGTATAAAGTTATATAAATAGTGTATAATAGTGTTTAAACAACTCTCATACACAATAATACATTATTCACATGTATTTGGTAAATTTCTCACATATTCTTCTTCTTCTACACGTATATACATAGGTATCACGAATTTTTTTTTTCCAGTGCTTATACATCTTTATACACTTTTATACATCTATATACATAATGTACCTCTTTGTATAAAAGTGTATAATGTCGTATAAAAGTATATTAAACATCTCTGACGAACTTCTTATACGATTTCACTTGCAATTCTTGTTCAAAACTAGTCCAAAACTCCATCAAATGACTTCAAACTTTGTATATAACCTACTTAGAGTATTGCTAATAAGTTCAAATTATACCTACTCCAAATTTCTCACAAAATTATATTTAAAATTTAACAAGATTAGCATTGAAGAAGAAGAGGTTTTAGGTTTCTCGCGTCTGTTTTTTGCATTTTCGTTGATGGGATAGGTATGTATAAACTTGAGGAAAAAAGGAGAATGAAAACTCAAGGATCTTTCACGCCGGAAGATATGGAGAATAAAAAAAAAATCGGATATGAGTTTATTGATATTTGGCTACACATTTGCAAACTTATAACTGGGCTAAAATACTGCAAGGTCACCTTATGGAGTGATCTATTTTGTAATACTTCCTAAATAAAAGTAAGATCATATAAAAGCAAGAGTTTTCTCCCATTGCTGATAGGCTACCAACCTATCATATACTTATCTTATTAACCCTAATTAATTGTTAGTATAATTTAAGTTTTGTTCTTTAAGGAAAATAGGGCAAAAGAGATAGAAGCATGCCAAAATCCGAATAGAATTAGACTGGAGAGGAAGGAAAAACATACTTCTTCTAATGATGTTGAACAGTATATACAAGTTAACAACCAACCCTAAAATCCCTAATAAATATGAAAAAGATTACAAAGGATCGTAATTTCCTAGTTTAATACAAACACTAAATATTTACACCGCCTCGTATTTTGTGATTCGCATATCTGTTATGCGAGTCGCATATCAGTTCTGTGCCAAGCAGAATTGCTTGAAAATTACTCCATGAAACTGGTAGGTTTGGATAACTCTGCGGTTAATATGCGGCTTATATATCCATTATGCGGTTTGCACAATGCGCTTCATAATACCTTCCTCAAGTTGGTGCATGGAGATTTTGAATGCCCAACTTGTGATTTTTTTGACGTCTCTATAAAGATATCCGCCAATTGTTCATTGAAGGAACAAAACTGGTACGAGCATTTGTACCGACTATCTCGTCACGAACGAAATGACAGTCCACTTAAATATGCTTGGTTCGTTCATGATAGACCGATTTCTTGGCTATGTGTCATGCTGCTTGACTGTCACAATAAAGATGAATAGGAGCATTATAGTCTAATCCTAGACTAGATAAAGTTCCTTTCAACCATTTTAGCTCACCAATCACCATCGCCATGGAGTGATGTTCTGCCTCTATAGATGAGCGAGATACCATATGATGTTTCTTACTTTCCAAGATATGGGTGATGCACCTAAAGAGATAAACTAGTCTATAAGAGATTATCAAGTAAAAGGGCGACCGACCCAATTAGAGTCATACCACCCATATAGATGTATATCACCTGTACTACTAAACATAATACCTTGTGCCGGACTCCCTTTCAAATGGCAAACAACTCGCAAGGTACTTCCCAATGTTCCTCCTTCGCTGTTGTGAACATAAACATAATAAGAAAGTTTCGGCCGTGTGAAACAAAGATATATGAGGCAGCCAACCAAATGACGATAACATTCCGAGTCATTTAAAGATCACCCATCCGATAATGCTAGTCGATATTTTTGACTCCCACAGGCCTAGCACCCAACAAACCAACCTCCGAAATGATATTCAGTGTATATTCATATTGAATCAAGAAGATTCCATCAAATTTTCTTGAACTATTCCATAAAATATATTTCAAACCACCCAAATCCTTCGTATAAAACACTCACTCAGATAGGTCTTGAACTATTATAACGACCCAATCAGATGTTTTGAGCTTTAACACTTTATTCGGGGGTTTGAGACTTTGAGTAGCTTCACATTATGCATTATAACTTGCGTGTATGGTTGGTTTTGATTATCGAGAGGTTCAGAGTTAATTAGGAAGAATAATTCTCAATTCGGAAGCTTTAAGTTGGAAGAATTGATCAAGGTTTGACTTTTGAGTAAACAACCTCAAAATCGGGATTTGATAGTTTCAGTAGGTTTGTATGGTGATTTTGGACTTGGGCATATGTTCAGATTTGAATTTGGATGTTCCTAGGTTTTTTTGGCTCTAATTGGAAAAAGTAGGAAAGTTGAAGTTTTGGAAGGTTCATAGGTTTGACCGTGAGTTGGATTTGAGGCTATCGGGGTCGAATTGCTGTTCTAGATGTTGAAATAGGTCTATTATGTCATTTATGACTTGTGTGTAAAATTTGGTGACATTCCGAGTTGGTTTGATAGGAATCAGATGCTTGATTTGAAGTTGAAAGTTTATGAACTTAAGAGATTGATCTTGATCGACGATTCTTGATTTTGATGTTATTTGTGGCATTCGAGCCTTTGGATAAGTTTGAATAATTTTTTTTGGGCTTGTTGGCATGATTGAACGGGGTCTCGTTGGGCTCAGATGAGTTGTAGGGTGGTTTCAGACCATTTTGGTTGTGTTGCATTGCTGATTTCTGGTGGTGTTCTGCTGAGAATCGCGATCGCGTTGGAGCTTCGTGATCGCGAAGTGTGTTTTAAGGTCCCTGGTAGTTTGTGCATCACATTCACGCTGAGGTCCTCGCGTTCACGAAGTTGTGTGGTAGCTGGCCATCGCATTCACGAAGTACTGGGGAGGATTGTCAGCAGGTTGATCTCGTCCAAGTCACAGCTCTATTTGAGGTTATGAAACGGTCGATGCAATAGTAATACCCAACAAGGAGTGAGGGTCGATTTTCCACACGGAGCTATGAATGGGACTTAGGAGTATATGTTATAGTGAATGAGCTTGAATTATCACAAATTGCACTTCTACAAAATTTGGTTATTTCTAAGTCTAAGTTAAACTAAGATTACCAACTAAGAATTGAAACTAGGAAATTATTTTTTTTGTTTTTCAAATATATAAAAGGCCTTCGCCTAACGGGTTGTAAACTTTAAAGCTTGTTTTATTGGTCGGGGTGTATTATAGCTATCAACACTCGAGTACCCACTCAATACCTCTCGGTAAGAGAGTGGTTTTGCCCAATTTGGCTTTCTCAAGTCCAAATGGGTATTGAACAAAACGGTTGATAAAAAGCTCAAGTCGGGTTTTACTATCTCTAGGTACAACCCTTTAATTGGGACTATCAATCTCTTGAATTACCCAATTTCTTGTTAGCCAAGTTTTCCTAGACTAAGTCTCTCTTTCTCAAGTAGAGACCAAGTCAAATACGCATGAACTAATGTTTGTAACCATTAATTCTACAATTAAAAGCAAGAAAAATGCTAAATAATAAACACCCAACCATAAACAAGCAATAAATCAAACACCCATTAGGTTTACACTCTAGGGTTTATGTCACAATCCCTAGTGAGAATCTAGCTACTCATGCTTAAAACAGAAGAAATAGAAGAAGAAATGATAATTAAACCCACAATGATAATTAAAATAATGAAATCTATGTTCAAAAATCTCAAAATGGCAAAAACTACTAAAGAGGGTAAAGAAAAACGTCTACTGTGGCTGGTGATATTAAACTTGACCTAAAAAAGTGGAACTCTTCTATTAATACAGAGCTGGAATTTTCGGACAAAAATGCCCTTTCGGAGGTTCTGCGGCCGCACAATTCTATGTGTGATTTGCACTTTACTTTAGCTAGACAGGATTGGAAATTGCGGCCGCACAATTCTGAACCTCGGCCACATCTCTCTCTTTGTGCGGTCCGTACATTTCTGAGTGCGGCCGCACATGGCTCTTCTGCGGACCGCACAAATGCAACTGCGACCGCATAACTGATCTTCTGCGGCCGCACAATAATTGTGCGGTCCGCAGTTCCGTTAAACATGATATGCATGTTCTCTGAACCTTAGCTCTTGACTAACTTCTGCGGCCTCACATTTCATGTGCGGACCACACTTCTCACAGATCTCTGATAAGTTCCAATGCACAATCTGCGGTCGCAGATGATATTATGTGGTCTGCATTCTGTTTTTGTCCTTGAGTTCAGATCACTCCTTCTTGAGTTGAATTTCATCTTGGGGACTCATTTTCTAATATTCCTACAATTAAGCATATTTCATCAGTTTTCGGGAACACAACTAACTGCTTTTGGACCAAAACGAAAGCTAAAAGGCGCTAATAAATAGTCAAAGTTCCCACTTATCATCTACCCAAACTTAAGCTTTTGCTTGTCCTCAAGCAAATAAGGTAATTCCTACCTCCACAACTTAAGAGCTATTCCAGCTAATCAAAGATGCATCAATCACACATCAATTGGGACCAACAATTACTCACAACACTTATGAATTATCAACAAGGCAATGGTTTGAACTTTAAAGCACAAATAGTTCTAATGTGACACTTAGGCATCAAGAGTTGACTTTATTCATCAAGGAATCTCACTCTTTCATGTAGGTCATTGTGGATCCCAAACTCCTCCTCCTCTACTCTCCGTTAGCATATCTTACTTAAGAATGTAGCACTCAATTCAGGGATTTTTGGAAGGTTCGCTCATCCCTCTCAAAAGAATGTCACAAGTACGACTCTAAGTACCATATGCTTGCCCCTATGTAGATCACCACTAATGTAAGTTCACTCGGCTTGAAATCACATAGGGCTTTTTCGGATTGCAATGAAGGTTTTTGGACTAAGGTTGGATATGTTAGCATAGAACGAGTTCATCTTTCCTTAAACACTCCATTTTCTCTTATCGACTCATGTTTTGCCAACTCTTTGAGGCATTTTATTTTTCCTTAGGGTAACTAGAGAGACTTAACATCACTCTTTCTTGGTCATGATATTCATTTTCTCCTTCTTTGTTTTTTCCATGCTTTGCATCGTTACTTTTCTTTGAATCCCTTCAACTCATCAACTTATTCACTTTCTTTTTGCGTTTTTCTTTCTGTTCTCACTTTCTTTTTCTTGCCTTCCCTTTTCTTCATTTCTTCTCTTTTTGTGCCTTGATACCTTTTTCAAACTCCTCATCTCTCCCCCAAACTTATGTTTTAGCTAATTGTTTCTCAAGAGTGTAAAGGAAAGCTCGGGTGCCAAGAGAGGGTTACAACAAAACGGTAAAGGCTTATAACATGGTTATCAAATGAGAAAGATATTAAGCTCAAATGGGTTGACTAGGGATAACAACATTGGTGGAACATGAAAGATTTCAAGCGGGTCAAGGAGAGCCTACAATCACTTCTCAAGCCAAGCAAAACTTAAAATTTTGCCTAGAAACACATTCAGGGCAAGTTCTAGACCATTCGCACGGGTACTTGGACTTGCAACAAAAACATCTCACCTCTCACACAACAGGATTGTTAAAGAGGATAGATTCGAGGGTCCACAGCGACCATATTTAAGATTGAAAATCACCAATGGTTCGACTAAACCACTAGATGATTGCTTAAGTCAACACAAGAGTCAGAAGGTCACTAACTAGAGATATTTCTTTCCAAGAACTTGTTTTTAATCATAAACACGTAGTTAAGTGTGTTGGTATCAAGTGAAGCATGTTTGACTCTTCGAGTCTGAATCAATTAGGTCTTTTTATTCATTATTACTACTATTCTTACCTAAACACCAAAAACGGACTCAATCCCTTAAGAAGGTTGTCACACTATCCATCGTTGGGAAGAGTCACCCGGTTCACACAAAAATACCTTTGGAAAGAACCCTAACATTAAGAAAATCAAAGGCTTATTGTCCACTTAAACACAAAAAGAAACTACTAGATTAAAAAGAAGCTATTAGATTAAACAAGAAGCTACTGAATTAAACATTGACTAATAAGAAAACAAAATAAATAAGCTACAAAACAAGCTACTGTAAGCATAAATGAATATACATAATGAGAGAGGAAAAGATCAAATATATACATCAATAGAGAGAGAGAAAGAGAGAGAGAGAGAGAGAGAGAGAGAGAGAGAGAGAGAAGAATATATACATAATACAAAGAAAGAGGGAAATGTTACCAGTTATTACAAACCAAATGTCAAATCATCCAAATATCAAATAAACTCCACCCCCTCCCGAATAAAAATAAGCATTGTCCCTAGTGCTTAACAAAATAAGAATAAGGAAGGGTAAGAGAAAAGAGGACTCCCTATGTGGCCTTGGACATCTCTGTGTCCATAGCAGCGTTGCCGCCCTCAGCCTCCTCTAACTGGATCTCATCATCCTCGGCTCTGGGAGTAGCTGGGTTGGCGAACATCTCTCGCACCATCTCAACAGTGTCGGCAGCCAGGTCTAGATCCTCAAACTAGCTAGCTGGTGCCACTGGCACTGATGGTGCTGCTGGATCTACCGGTGCTGCTGGATTTGTCTCCATCAACATATCAAATGGAAGGTCTCCAGCGACTGCTATCTTGGTGACCTATCTCCTCAATCTGTCTACTGATTTCTTGGATGCCTAGGATTTCTTCATCTTCTTTACCTGCTTCCCAAGCTCCTCAATTACTACTCCATGTGCTACCAAAGTGTTCATGATGGTTTGTTGGTTCTACAAAATCTTATTCAATGTATCCTCCACTGTTGGAGGAATCTGGGGTGCTGGGGTGGATGACTGTGCTGTAACAGCACAGAATAAGTCAGACAGCTTTGCAGTAATTGTCTGCATCCAGTTGTTTATGCTCGCCAGTGTTTGGGAGACTTGCAGTGCAGATAATGGATGAGTGGGCATATGCACTGGCCTCAAAGTCGAAGTAGAGGGAACTGACACGGAAGGCCCTGAAGAAGGAGGTAGAGGCATGCCAGCTGCACTGGTAGAATGTACTGCTGAAATGGAAGGCATGTCTGTTGACTCTGCAGCTACTACCGAAGGCTCATCAGACTGGCCTACAGTAGTAGTCGGCTGACCCTTATTCTTCTGTTCCTCGGGTTTTTTAGAGAATACCAAGTGAAAGGCTTCTTTGCTCGAACCTTTGTGTCAAAATTCTTCGGCTCCACCCCCGCATCCGTATAGTGTTGGGATACGGTAGAAGTTGTCACCTTGCCTGCCAACCAAAGACATGTTGGCCAACATCACGACACCCACATTGATTGGGTACCCGGCCATGATAGAAGCGACTAGCACTGCCCACGGGATTGGGAGATTTGTTTCATTTTGGCACGGGTCTAGTCTACTACACACAAACATTTTCCATCCCTTTGCCTCAAAATTTAGGGTGTTCCGCTGAATAGGAACCCCTGCTGTGATCCACTACAAGAATCTCAGCTAGCCATGGGCGAGCTGTTCGCCCATAGCCATCTTTTCCAAGTATTGCACCGACTCAACATCCTCCAACCCTAAGTATGTGTTCAAAGTGCTCTGGTCAAACCTCACTTTCAGATTCCCCACCTTCGTCACTTTGGTCCCCTTCTTTATGTGCGCCACATTGGCGTAAAATTCCCGGACCAGGTACTCTTTGGCATCTACCACACTTTGAGTGAACCATTGTTGGCCCAAGTAAATGTGAAGTTTTGAAGACTGACAAAAGAACTCAGACATGGACCAAGTCCATCTTGTGAAGCACAGTTGTGATCAACCCAAACATGTGAGATGGACGTGAAGGAGATAAATCTAACTTATTAGAAGTGATATCTCCTGATCATGATCGAAAAGATTGCATACTGGATAAGGAGAAAGACTCCTTACACAAAGAGAACACGGTTTAGGAAAAGGATAGAGTTAGAGTATGAGATTAACTAGAACTCTTCCATCATGGAAGAGTAGCATCTGTATCCTAGTTAATCTCAAATTACTAACTCCTTAAATATAAGTGTTGTTCTCTTTTACAGGTAATCACATAAGCAGAAGTTAAACGTGAATTGAGAGCAAAATAGCAAGGCAATTGTGCAAGCAATTTATGTGTGATTCAAGCGTGCATTCCTGAAGCTACTTGAACCAGATAGAAGAACCAGTCCCAAGTGTCTATCTTTTATTCTAGTTCAATTGTAGTAGGTGATTTTACATTGTACCTTTCAGCTTTTACAGAAGCAATTGTATTAGGTACTCAGAGTTTTCAAGTTAGAGTTAACTTGAAGTTGTCGTAACAGTTGAGGCTGTGTGCCACAATAGGATTAGAGTTAATCCTAGGTTTATAAAAGAGTTTTTGTAAATACAGTTTTTGGCTCAGTGATTTTAGTGGAGAGTTTGGGAAAATCCTACTAGAAGGTAGGTCGTGGTTTTTTCACCTTCTAAGCCAGGTGTTTTCCACGTAAAATCTCTGTATTCTTTATTTTCTGTACTTATTATTCCGCAACAGTAGTAGTTGGAACACATAGAAGAACAAGGTCCTTCTATAATCAAGTTAAGCGAAAATTGGGTACCACACAAATCACCTCCCCTCTTGTGTGGTATTGAAGTATGAAACATCAACCATGTCCACCCCTTCCGCTCCGAGAATTGTCTCGACATCGCCAGGTTGTATTTATCAAGTTCTTTCAACAAGAACTGACGCTCAAGAGTGAGCGATCTCGACGGCCACCATTCTCGGAATCTATTGAATACAGTTAGACTGACAAACATATCTTCCCAAATTTCTTTCTTCTTCGACCTCTCAAGGCGGGCAACTCTGGTATCACCCTCTCAGCCATTATCCGGGATATCATCCACATTCACAGTAGTAGCTGGTGTGTCGGGGGCATGTGTAGATGAGGGCTATGAGGCCTGACTGTCACTTTTTGAACCCTCATAAGTGATCTCAGAGGTGGAACGTTCATTTCGGAGTTGAAATATCCCCTGAAGCTGCTGTGGCTGTGATTGTCGCACCTCCTTTTTACACACCCGAAGGTGATATAAGGGACTTTTCCCACTTTAAGTGACATTATTCGAAATTGTATTATTTATTCAATTCAGAGTCGCCACTTGGGATAGTTTAATTGGTGTCCCAAGTCACCGGTTTATTTTAAATCCCAAATCGAGGAAAATTTCGACTTTCCTTTTGAAGTCTGCGAACCAGAAATTCTGAATAAGGAATTCTGTTAACCCGAGGGAAGGTGTTAGGCACCCCCGGATTCCGTGGTTCTAGCACGGTCGCTTTAAACTATTATAATTGGCCTATTATCTGATTTTAATACATGTTTTAGCCTATAGTGCATTTTAATTTATTAAACCGCTTTTTAATTCTTTTAGGGAAGATTCAACGTTATTTAAAACACGCCTTGAACCACGTCACATGAAATGCACCCGTGATCCACGACACATTTTATTTAACGTTGTTGAGAATTGGAGTTGGGTCACATGAAATGCACACCCGAGTTTAAGGAAATTAATTTAAAAATAGCGCGGCTAAGCAACTACGCGCTTTCAAGTTAATAACAAGCTTTGCGAGGGCCATGGAAAATTCAACTAATGGCACACCTCAAATTATTTTAACGAAGGATTGCATTTCAATTAATTAAGGCTAAGGATACTTGTATTTAAATCCTAATTTGAAGTTAAAACTAAGGATCCCTTAACTTAAGGTGTGAGAGGGCTAAGCTTTCAAACTAATTCTTAGGGCCCGGAAGAATTCATCTATTGGTCCAAATGTTATATAACTACCATGGTTCAAATTATTAAAACTTATTGGACCAAAAATGGAACTTACATTTCGATGCTCTTGGCAGTAATATGACCAACATGAAAACCTTAGCAACAAAAGTTAAAAATTCAACCATTAACTTGAACAAATCGATCCGAAACCCAAACGGCCCAACTTTGTTTGTGTGACATTTAAACCATATGGCCCAACAAATTAATGAGTTAATTTCAACCCCAACCAATTGCTAGAACACCAAACTATGTCAGATCATTCTTATAGCTCAAAAGTACTTAATCAAATTGAAACATGATTCTAAAATTCATGTAATTAATTCAAACCATACCTCAAAGCACCGAATTAACACACATAAAACAAATAACTAGATCTTGAGAGGCATTCATATATCAACGAAATCTAAGCACTAAATAGCTAAAAATATATGAAAGAAAACGAACCTTTTATAAGCTTTCAATCAAAGTATACAGAGGCACACTGAAGAAGCTAACAACGAACAGACTCGCTAACATAAGACCACGTCGGAACCTCGAAACAAGACCTCGTCGGAAAAAACTTTTCCCGGATTGTTTTCTGCTCAGATTTCAGCAAACAATAGTGGCTTTTTCTTGCTGATTTTATGATGTCTGCAAGCTCGTTTTTGGATGTTAAAAGGTGGTGAAAGAGCTGCTGGTTTTAGAGCTTTGCGACGGTGTTTCGGGCTATTTCGAAGCTGATTTTCGCAGCTCTTCTTAGCAGATTTCACTATGGCTATTCAGGCTAATTTTTGCTGTTTTTTCGAGCAGATTTTCGCTGGGTTTTGGGGCTGTTTTTCAGCAGCCTTTGGAGTCATTTTAGCTGGCGTTTCTGGACTTTTTAGAAGCAAAGTTTCAGCTGTGTTTTTATGGGATTTTAATGGGGGTTGTTGAAGGTTTTGAGCTAGAGTATCATGGAGAAAGAAAAGGATTTGTGGCTTTCTTGGCTGCGAAAGATGAGGCTCGATCGAGTTGTGTGTATGAGAGGTACTGTGTGTTTACATGGTTTTTGGAAGAATTAATGATGAAGAAGAAGAGAACGGGAAAAAGGATGTGGCTGCCTTTATACAAAACGGCTGATTGTGTTTTTAGAGTCTAATGTTAGGTACTATTATATAGGGGTAGTCATTAGGTTAGGGGTATGTGCCTAGGAATTATGGGCTTGAGAATTATGGCTAGGTCCAAAATTAGGCCTAAAATGGGTTGCTCGAGCCCAAGTTTTATTCTTTCCCCGCGAACGATACGATCTCATTTATTAATTAGTCCTATTTAAGTAAAATAACTGTTAAAATAAGACTGACCGTTAAAACAAAACTATTTTTTGGTATTTTTCAAGATTAAAAATGACTACAAAATATTAAGGGAACAATTTTTGTAATTTTCATTTTTTCTTGTAATAAAACGAAGTAAAAGAGTAAAAATTAGTTAAAATAGCTATATTAGGCCTAAATTAAATATTTACGTGCTAAAATATGAAAAATATTGGGAAGAGTCAAAAATCACATGTCTACAGTGATTGAACAGCAGGCTGCTCTTGCACAAAGTCGCCCTCCGATGCTTCCCTAGACAGGACATAAAAACTTAATTCAGCGGGCTCTGTAGCTCTACCTCGCCCGGCTGCCGCCTTTTTGGATATAGCTCTTTGTAAGGCGAGTGGTAAGGTACTCTTTCCTCGACCTTGGGAGGGTTCACCCCTCCCCTTTGATGTATCACCACGACCACGTGATCTAACCATATTCTATAACAAACAGCAGCAGGAGTCAGTTCTAGTTCAAGTGCAGATAAGAAGAAAGTTGCAGAACAAAACATGTTGCAGGGTGGGGAAGTGCGGTCCGCACAATTGCATGTGCAGCCGCAGAGATGAAACTGCGGTCCGCACAATTTTGTGTTAGACCGCACATCTGAAGTGTTACATCTCGCGTTTTTGTATGTTAAAGTTTCGTCTTTAGTTAATCGACGTAGTCTCGGGGATGAGATTATCTTGATATTATACGCATTTATGCTATTTATAACGAGCGATAAGTAAGTGCCGTGAAGGATAAAGGGTAAACGAATCAAAGAAAATAAGTTTTGTCGAAGGTCGATTTAGGATAAAATACGGTCCGAGCTATAATACCCGATATTTATGGGCTAGTGCCATACAAGGTACCCCATAACCACGATAAGTAGGGTGCTCAAAGTGTGTTCAAAGTGAGTAGTATTTTAAGTAAGTTGAGATAATTCTTAATTATATGGGTAATTGGTTGATTATTGGTTAATGGGGGAATTAATCAGTTAAATAAGACAATTATAAATAATTATGTCTTTGAGATAAAGCCTAAGAGGCCAAAAACATGGCAGCCCTCCCCCACCCCACCCCCCCCCCCCCTAAATTAAGATGACTCTTAAGTCTTGCATAAATGTCACACTTTGGAGGACCTAAAGTGGCTTAGTCAACCACTAAGTGGGCCACACCCACTAAAGGTTTCCTACAACTAGCGAGGTGCTCATTTCTTAGTAACAAATGATTAAAAGATCAAGAATCCAATTGAATCTCATATAGAGAGTGGCTGATCGTGAGTTCTTTAAAGAGCAAAACAAATCCGTACCAAAAATTGATAACGTTGGTTAATTGATTTTGTAAAGCGTGAATTGCTAATTCTAAGAGAATCGGTTAAGTTATGTTAAGGCAATCCCTTATTTCCTTTTGGCATGATCTATACGACACAAACGAAACGAGCAAATGCACAACTTTCATAAATGACTCTATTCATAGAAATGCTAGAGATGCATATATTCTTGTTTTCCCATAAGTCTGATTATTCTATCGTCTGTTCATGGGTCTCAGAAAATATGTATGCTGATAAAGTTTATTTCATGATATTAATCAGAGGCATAATGGTCTTATGACACTCCGAAATATTTTATTGACGTACTTCTCATGCATTGCATTCATTTACATTGATGCATGACCAGATGGCGTTATATAAACGTATATATGTGCGTGTATATATGTATGTATGTATATGTATATGAGATATGAGAAAAGGTTACGACGTTATATACGCACCACCACCTGATCAGCTGGTACATGTTGATAATTTTGCCCACAGTGGCCGAGATGATATGATGAGATGCCCTCAGAGGCTTGATGATGTTATGTACACCTATACCTATCCATGACACGACATTTACATGCACGTGCATGACATTATAAATGTTTCAGGATTTACAAAGTTATTTAGACTTACAGGCGGAATTCCTTATTCCATGTTTCATCTATGTCTTATGTATTGATTTTCATTGCTTACATACTCATTACATTTTCATATGGACGCCCTATTTCTCGGGGCCTGCGTTTCATGCCCGCAGGTGCAGGTAGACAAGCTGTTGGTCGCGCTCCTTAGGATCCTTGATCAGCGAGAGTTGGTGTGCTCCATTTGATCTGGAGGTGCTTTTGACCTTGGTACGATATGTTTGTATACATATATGGGTATGATGGGGCCCAGTCCCGTCTTTGTATAGTTGTATATTCTAATAGAGGTCTGTAGACAGTTATGTATAGTTGGATAGTATGTGGCCTTGTCGGCTTCCAGTTTTGGGTATATTGTTGTCTATAGCAGCCTTGCCGGCTCGCCCTACTGTATTCCGCATGTATATGTACATTTGTCTTTTGGACAGGTTTCCCTCACGTATGTTATTCATGTTTATATCTTAGACGCATGCTTAAGGATGTTCGACAGGTAGGACGCGGACACCCGTCGCAGCCCATCCGTGTGGGTCGTGACAAAAGTGGTATCAGAGCAGTTCTGTCCTAGGGTTGTCTACAGACCGTGTCTAGTATAGTCGTGTTTATGGGTGTGTTGTGTACCACACCTATAGACAGGAGGACATATATGATGTTTTCCTCTCTTCTTATCTTAGATCGTGCGATATAAGAATTCATGTTCCTAACGATATGTTATATATTTAGCGATGCCTCCAAAGACTACAGCCGCCCAGAAGGGCAAGTCCGTGGCTAATGAGAGTACTAGTCGAGCGCCATGAGTTACCAGGGCCCGGGGAGAGTCTCATAGTGAGATTCCATCTCTGACTTCACATACCCCGCCCTCCCCAGAAGAGCTCCGAGGGGCACCAGCTCCAGCGCCCGCCCCTGTATGTCCAGCTCCTCAGCCAAATGCACCGGGTCAGGAGATGAGAGATGTTATTCAGCTATTAACTCAATTAGTAGTTGTACAGGCTCGACGTTAGGAGGTAGGAATTGGTCATGCAGATAGATCCGTCAGTGCGAGGGTTCGTGATTTCATTAATTTGGACCCTTCGGTATTCACTAGGACAGCTCCAAACAAAGATCCTCAGGTATTTATCGATAGGATGCAGAGGACTACGAGGGTAATGAAGGCCACTGCATCTGAGTCAGTTGAGCTAGCTTCCTATAGACTCCAAGAGGTTGCAGTTAATTGGTACGGGTCTTGGGAATTGTCCATAGGTGAGGATGCCCCTCCAGCAGTATGGTAGGAGTTTACAGAAGCTTTTCTTCATCATTATCTGCCACCAGAGCTTAGACGGGCCAGAGTTGATAGGTTCTTGACCCTTCGACAAGGTAGCATGAGTGTTCGAGAGTACAATATTTAGTTTGATTCATTGGCTAGGTATGCTCCCACTATTGTATCTAAGATGGAGGATCGGGTTCACCGGTTCGTGATGGGGTTAGAGCCGCACTTGCTTAACGATTGTATGTCGGTCTCACTTCACCCAGACATGGATATTTCTCATATTCAGTCATAGGTTCAGGGTGTAGAGGAGCGTAAGCAGAAGCAGAGGGCCGATCGTGAGCATGATAGGTCCCAGTATAAGAGAGCGAGGTCTTCGAGTCCTTCTGGTGAGTTTTGAGGTGGTTAGAGACAACAATACTCGAGGTATCAAGACAAGCAATGGCTAGCGCACCCCCTCAGTTTCGCGGTAAGAGATTTGATCATTCCACATATTCAGGGCCTGATCAGAATTCCAGGCCCTCAAGTTCTCATTATAGGGGTGAGTCAAGTCAGATAAGGCCGCCCTTGCCACGATGTGCCCAGTGTGGTAAGCAGCATGCCGAGCAGTGTCGTATAAGGTTGGGTGTTTGTTATACTTGTGGTTATCCGGGCCACGTTATGAAAGATTATCCGATGAGAGGTGATGCAAACATCAGCCAGCGGGATCTGTAGCTGGTTCATCATTATCAGTACACCCCTCTAGGCAAGGTTCACAAGAACCAATGGGTCATGGTAGAGGCAGATGCGGAACATCTAGCTCGAGCGGTCCTCAGAACCGCATTTATGCGTTAGTAGGACTACATGATTAAGAGTCATTACCTGATGTTGTTACATGTATATTATCAGTCTCCTCATATGATGTATATGCACTGATTGACCCAGGTTCCACCTTATCATATGTTACTCCGTTGGTTGCTAGTAAGTTTGGAATAAAACCTAAGTTGGTTAAGCCTTTTGAGGTGTCCACACCTGTTGGGGATCCGGTGATAGCTAGGCGGGTATATAGAGGTTGTATAGTAGTACTTCATAATCGATCTACAGTAGCGGACCTAATTGAGTTAGATATAGTAGAATTTGATGTTATAATGGGTATGGATTGGTTGGCTTCTTGTCATGCCAATGTTGATTGTAGATCAAAGATGGTCCGATTTCAATTTCCAGGGGAACCTGTTTTTGAGTGGAAAGGTAATACGGTGTCGCCGAGAGGAAGATTTATTTCCTAATTCAAGGCAAGCAAGATGATCAGAAGGGGCTATATTTATCACTTAGTTCGGGTTCAGGATGTGAAAGTAGAGTCACCAACCATTCAATCTATCCCTATGGTTAATGAGTTTCCCGATGTTTTTCCCCATGACTTCCAGGCTTCCTCCAGAGCGAGAAATTGAGTTTTCTATTGACCCACTACCAGATACTCAACCAATATCTATTCCTCCCTATAGAACGGCACACGCAGAGCTGAGAGAGTTGAAGGAACAACTAAAGGACTTTCTTGAAAAAGGCTTTATCAGACCTAGTGCGTCACCGTGGGGAGCACTTGTGTTATTTGTAAGGAAGAAAGATGGTTCCTTGC